GGAGCGTCGGTTGCGCATGCTGCTGCTGCTGTGGTAGGGTAGGGTGTGTAAGATTCTTTGACGGTGATGCCGGCCGCGAGTATAGCTGAGTCGTGCTGGATCCCACGGCCGAGGAGTTGCTGGTGTTGGCGCGCGTCGCCCTGGAGCCGCTGGAGATGGTCGAGCCCGTCCCGGAACTGCGCGCCGACAGCCTCGCGTCCATGTCTGGCACGCCGTTGGCGTAGAAGAATTTCGTAGCGACGCCCTCTTGCGCCGAGGCCAGCGAGTGGGTGCTTGAGCTGGGGTATGCCGGAGGGCTCGTCACTCGCTTGCTGGCGGCATCGCTCGCGTAGAAGAAGGTCGGCGTACTCTTAGTATGGACGACCGAGGCCGGTCGGGGCGGCGGTGCCTGGGCCGAGGGCTTCACGCTGCTCGCGTAGAAGAACTTGGAGTCCTCGCCCGGCCCGGTGGACGATGAGCTGGTGACGCTCCTCCTGGAGCTCAGGCTGTCGTTACGAGCCAGGGGCGACACGCCCAGGCCGCGGTTGCTCCTCGTCTCCCACCCACCGTCGCTCATCTTGTCGAGATTCGCCGAGCTGCCCGTCGAGACGGTGCTCTCGGCACGGGACTGCCTGGCGCCCGACCGCGGGGTGCCATTATGGCTGAGGTATGAACCCGGAGGAGCTGCGGCGCTCTCGCCGCGCGGCGACTGCGCGCCGGCGACGGACGAGGACTTGCGAGCCAGCGGCGTGGTTGCTGGCGGGCCCTTGACGGCGACCTTGGGGGTCAGGGGCGTTCGGGTCATGCCTCGGGGGGCTCCAGCGCTCAGCTGGGGCTGGCGAGGCTTGTCGCCGGGAGGCATCGTGGCGGCGTCCCTCTTGGTGGAAGAACGCGTAGTCGGAGTAGCGGCAGCTCTCACAGAAAGCACATGTTGATTCGGCTGTCGCGCAGCTGTCGGGCGGGTGAGGGGCGGTCCTTGGGGATCGGGCGGAGTCGAGCCCAATCGAGGTGCAGACGTCGTTGTTGTTGTCGTCGTTGTCGTTGAGGCTTTGGTCGCTGGTCGCTGCGGCGCGGGCTTGGAGGCGGACAGTCGCGAGGCGGAGGGTTGCGGCTTGATCGGGTGGCGAGGCTGCTGTTGCTGGTGAGGGTGATGGCTGGGTTGAGGCCGCAGCTGAGGTTCAGGCTGAGGTCGAGGTTGAGAATGAGACTGAGTCCGAGGTTGCGGTTGGAGGTGAGGCTTGGGCTTAAGCCTGGACGTGGCTCGGGGATTGTCGACGACAGCGTCCGAGCATGCGTTGCCTGAGCCTGAGCGCATCCTCCGGGCGTCCAAAGTCGCGCGTAACAGCGCCCACTGCAGGGCCTCGGGCAGCGCTGGCAGGTAATTAAGGCCGCTGTGGTGACTAGCCCGGGCTAGAAATTAGGGGGCGTGTGGAGGGATAAAAGGAGCCGGGAACCCAAGCCTGAGCGAGGCCCACTGGCGCAGCTATGGATGGATGTCGCAGGTAGCCGTACGAGTAAGTGACGATTCAG